CTCCCTGAGCTTTGCTCCATTGGAGCAAAGCTCAGGGAGCCAAGGTTCCATTTGGATGCCAGGAAGCACTTCCTGACAGTCAGGACCCTGAGGGTGTGGAATGGGCCTCCACGAGAGGTCGTTGAGGCCCCATCGGTGCGGGTGTTCAAGGATAGGCTGGATGTGCACATGGTGGGCATGTTGTGAGCGGAGCCGGCTGGTGCCGGAGGTCAGACTGCATGGCCCGGGAGGCCCCTTCTGACTCGCTCTGTTTTCTATGTTTTCTATGTTTCTAAATATCCTCAGTGGTTTCCAGATGGTTACATCCTTTCCCCTAGCCATATGTAGTCCTCATTTTTTGGGTACTTTCCCAGCTCCACCCAATTCTAAAATGTTGAAACCTTCTAAGCTTGGCTACTGCAAATATAAGCTTTAAGATGAAATAGGATGCTATTTGGGAGCCCACTTCTTTTGCTGGGAACCCTGCCTACTGCAGGGCTGTGGCTCCCAAAAGCTGCTCCAAAGTTCAAAGCCCTCAGTGCTGCGGAATTTCTGCCATTCTCTGGGATATGAGCCTTCTTCCTACATCCCAAAGCACCTAGGATGCTTTGCTGAGGACCAGACTCTGTATCCATGGAAACATAGGGTGATCCTATGTCGACTGCGTCACATCAGGCTGCTTTTGACTCATCTGAGAGTGATGGAAGAGGAATTGTACCTGAATGTTTTCTGTTGTCCACTCATACCATATTGGAGGTAAAGCTGTAGTCCTTCTCTTGGGTGTGCCAAATTCTTATGTATGGGGTCTTCTTGGCACAGAGAGGCTTTCAGACATGTTGAACTCACCCCCTGCATGTCTGTACCACCATTTTTTGGTAGAAAGTGAGTTCCTCTCTTTTTGGTAGAAAGGCAGAATATGCAGTTGGTCAATCCATCCATGCTGTGGTCCAGCACCTGTCTGTGTACCTGGCTTTATACAGAACTTGCTTTTTCCTGCAGCGGTACTCCGTCTGGGGTCAGACCTATGGAAGGAAGGAGTTCATGGCAGCAGGCAGGGCTTGTCAAGAAGCCTGGGTTGCACCCATTGCAACTTCTGTTTCTCTTTCTTGCTTCCAGGTGACTTATCGAGATGGTCGACCACCTGGCGAATACTGAGATCAACAGCCAACGCATTGCAGCAGTGGAAAACTGCTTTGGGACGTCCGGACAGCCCTTGGCCGTGCCAGGAAGGGTCCTTCTGGGTGAAGGGATCTTGACCAAAGAATGCCGCAAAAAAGCCAAGCCGCGGATCTTCTTCCTTTTCAATGACCTCCTTGTGTACGGGAGCATCGTGATCAACAAAAGGAAGTACAGCTCCCAGCATATTATCCCTCTCAATGAAGTCACCCTGGAGACGTTGCCGGATACCCTGCAGATGAAGAACCGGTGGATGATCAAGACGGCTAAGAAGTCGTTTGTCGTTTCTGCAGCCTCTCAGACAGAGAGGAAGGAGTGGATCAGCCACCTGGAGGAGTGCATCCGCCTCTTGCTGTCCAAGACGGGCCAGCTGCCCCCCACGGAACACGCCGCCCCCTGGATCCCCGACAAAGCCACCGATATCTGTATGCGCTGCACCCACACCAAGTTTTCCACCCTCACGCGAAGGCACCACTGTCGGAAATGCGGCTTCGTGGTATGCGGGGAATGCTCCCGGCAGAGGTTTCTCATGCCCCGGCTGTCCCCAAAGCCCTTGAGGGTTTGCAATCTTTGCTACAAACAACTGATGGCAGAAAAAATGGAGACAGAAGAGGCACAAAAGTCCGTCCATTCTCCTCTGGCTCACTACGAACCTTCCAGTGGGGAGGACAGTGACCGCTCTGACGAGGACAAACTGGAACAGTGGCCAGAAGAGGCAGAGTTTTATACGTCAGACATGGCTTGGTCATCTTTCCACAGCTGACCTCAGCACGGTCAGTCAGGCAGATTTTAGGGGCCGTGTTCTGTGAAACACAAGAGCTTGTCCTGAGGCACTTTTCATAGGAGTAGCTTTCAATGTGTTTTCACTGTTGAGCTTTATTCCATGCTGTGAATAAGGGAGAAGAGATGAGCTGAGACTACATCTGCAAGGGCCTGCTTATCAGCTCGTTAGGAGCGAGTGCTTTTGCATTGACATTTGAGGCAGAGCTGAACTGAGACAGACCTAATGACTGTTGCGCATTCCTGAAAATATTGCTGCTTTTCATTCAGTCTTTGCCAACCTGGTGCTTTCCATTTGTTTCGGACTGCAATTCTCATGTTCCTGACCGTGAGTGTAGTTTGCCATGAATGGGAGATCAAACCATCTGCATGACAGCAGAATGCGGGGGGGGGGGGGGGGGCTGATTTACTTTAGTTAAAGATAGTCTTGTCTTCCACTCCTGAAATGTCGGGTTCGGCTTGAGAATTTTGTGGGGCTGAACGCCAGAATGCCTCAAACTGTGCCTGCAGGAGAAATCTGTCTGTCTCAAAACTGGAGGTCAGGTTCTGGATTCAGTGCTAATGAAGTCCAAAGCAGCATCAGCTTCATGGCGGTGTTTCATGAAAGGTGGACCTTTGATAATCACTATGTGGAAGTTGGTCAAGGGTCTCTAATAGTATTCTGTTCAAGCATCAAACAATCTTCACCGGCTTTTCAAAGAAGGATTTGGTTTGGGGGATCAGGTTGAGTGCTGTGGTAGGGAGGGAGGCTAGAAAGAGATGTTGCTTTGACTACTTAATTCTGAGTAGTATTCAGAATTAATATGAATTTGTCAATGGAGTTTTGGAAACCAACGTTTGCAGATCAACTTAATTAAATGGCTGACATATTAACTTTGATTGGATGAGTGCTGCCCCATATCTGTAAAATTTTGGCTATGCTTCCTAGCTTTACCATCTTCTGGTGTTATTTCATTATTAATATTTAACATAATAAAAGCAAATTTCCCACTTGCTGACTTATCAGCTTGGCCTTCTCCAACCTGGTGCCCTCCAGTGGCTGTGGACTACAACTCCCATCAGCCCAAGCTAACACAACCAATAGTAAGGGATACTGCGAGAAGTTCAAAACATCTAGAGAGCACCAGGTTTGAGGAAAACTGGGTTGTTATCTTATTTTATCATGTTCAGTAACCTATCTATAAATATATATTTCAAAACACTAAAATATCTGGGAGAGAAAAGACTAGACTGTAGGTGGGACTGGTGCTTCTTGGGGTGAGGGGGGGCCTCCGGTTGTTTTCACCTACTAAATTTATCTTAAAATATGCACTTAACTTCTGCCACACCTTAATACAGGAGAGCTGCTGCTTGTCTTCAGTTCCAGGGGCCAAATTTGGTCCTCTGGAGTTCCCCAAAAGGGTACGCCCCCTTCCCAAGCCACTCCTCCTTTCCCCCAAGCACCAGTGACGATCGGTGCAGTTTTCCCTCATTCTAAAAAGTTAAAATACTTCTCCTAAGGTGTGTTTGTGTTTTACTGGCAGTAAGAGCTTTAAGCGAAACCATGCTTGTTTTTCTGGTAAGGACTGCCTGCCTTTTGCCCACCTAGCTGTAGAATAGAACCCCAGAGGGCTTCCCCGAAATGGATTTCGACACTTGGGCTGCAGATGTTTCCACACACTTGAGCTGATAGAATGACAACTCTTTAAACCAAGGGGTCCTTTTAAAATCAGAGAGAAGGATGGACGGATGGACAGATGGACAATCTCTGGTCTAGAGAGTACAAACCTGAACTTTAATGTGAATGAAGTGCATGAAAATGTTTCATTTGTTTGCAAACATCCTAGCTGTTGTGGATTCTGTAAAGCAGTGTTTTCGTCTTCAGAAGTGCAGCGGAAGCAAGGTTGAAATACAGACAGCTGCATCAGAAATGGATTTGGTAGCTCAGAGCTGCAGCTTAAACACCGTTGAAATCCGGGTGTAGCTCAGGCCTGGGGCACGTTGTTTTCGGTGCCATGTGCTTCCTGCCTTGTTATATACTTTGGCGCTTTCCACTGCTTGGTTTTCAAAGTGCCATCTGCAACTCGGAGGGCTAGAAATATACTTTGTGCTTAAATTAACCCTCCTAGAGAAATACACGCTGTACAGAAATGCCTTGCAGATGTTGCATGGCTCTGTCCCTCACGTGCATCCACACACTTTCGCACACACACAGCACAACCCCAATATGCTTGCGGTGCTAAGCCAACCTTTCTCAACCTCATATCCTTGGACTACAGTTCCCATCAGCATAGGAATGCTGAGAGCGGTTGTCCAGGTTGGAGAAGCAGATCTAAAATGCTGATCTTAATAGCTTGCTTTTGCCAAGGTTGGAGCTTTTGTTTTCTATCACTGTGCACGTTGATGCTTCCTTCTTGATCTCCGGTGGTGTAATGGAGTCAGAGCTCACACCAGCACCTTTTTAAGAGCAGTAAAACGAAAACCTTTTTATGTTTTACTGATATCACCTGCCATCCCCAAGGATTCCCTGCTCCCGCTGCCTATAGCTCTATTCCTCACAGAAGCTGGGTTCCCAGTGGCATTTTAGTCCTTGTTGTCATGCAAAGTGTTTCAGGGTGGCTGGATTTTGAACGGGCAATATGCTCCCGTTAGTTTTACCAGAGACTGGCTCCTGGTTCCAAAACTGCAGGAAGTAGTTTTGGGGATTGGGACCAGCACAGCTGCCTGAAGTTTTGGTCCCTCGGGGCGGGGGGGGGGGGGCTACAGGGACTGTCACAATGAGGGTCTTGCCATCAGAAGTCGCCACGACGTCGCTGCTGGAGGTAGTTTGACAACAGCAGCTCTGTTGCTGCAACTTAGTTTTTGACTCACAGTCTGAACTATACTAGTAGGCGACATTGCAGCAGGCAATCAATCTGGGTTTTGTTTGCTTTGCTTTTGTCTGTCTTTTGTTTTCCTCATTTTTCCCCCAGGAGCAGAAATGTAAGTCTGCATTTTTAAACATGGAGTTTCCCCATTGCACGATGATCTACCAGTATGACCCCCCCTCCCCATTCCGTGTCTCCCCTCATCTACCAGTATGTTTACATGATAGCCTTCTTTTTGTCAGTTAATTGTGTTTTCCCTTGTTAATTGATGGATAAATTGCTTATTAAATATCCTGTCTCAGTGTAATTCATGTTCTGAGGATTCTTCTTCAAGAGCCGTATGTCCTGATGGGAAATAAAGGAGAACATTTGGGCCCAGTCCAGCTCTACTCATGACCTGTTCCATGCCCCTACGATAGGGGTGGGAAACACACAGGCCATGGGGTACGTGCATCCCTCACCAGCCCCTGCTGCTGAAAGACCTCTCCCATGAAGGTTCCCTCTCCCTTGGCTGTTGCCACCAGCAGGCTGTACAGAAAGGAATGAAAGGAAGCAATTCCACCAGCCCTGCTGAAAGACCCCTTCATTTTTCCTTTTCCCTCCGCTTCCCCTTTTGCTTGTATGCCATGTCTTTTTAGCTGGTAAGTCTACAGGCAGAAATTGGTTTGTTTTCCTTACTGCATGTAAGTTGCTCTACAATACTTTTTGGAACAGAAACAAGATAAAAATGCTGTAAATGAATACATAAATTCTCAGCTGCCGGATTATGGAGTTAATGTTTCTGCCTAGATTAAGTACACACATTATGAAACAGAAGTGTAGGATCCTAAAGAGATGACTAATGGGGGAGCTATCCAGTCTTGGTTAAAAACACTTTATTTAAAAAACCATGAAGTAGAAATCTTCCAAAACAAGTAGCTGATCGCGTGATTTTTATTTTAATACCCTCCAGCTCACTATGAGTAGAACAAGCTGTCTCCGGGCACAAGGAGTACATTGTAAAAGCCCAAGCCGATGAGTGAAAATAAATGAAAAACAGTCCAGTTTGCCTTTTCCTCTGTGGAATTTATTCTTCTCCAGCAGGCTAAATTTCCCCAAGTTTTCCATTCTCTGCAGCTGCCTGTGTCAACCGCGAAATGTTGTTTCCCTCCCTCCATCCTGCCTCCCTTGTGGACAAACGACACCAGACTTGCCAACAAAAGCCTTGAGTGAGGCAGATGTTTCTGGTTTTAAAGAGCTTCCAAACCCTCTTTGTTGTATTTTCTTCCTTATTCTGGCCCAAAACGAAAGAAAGAGTGGTATTTATGGTGCTTTGTCCCCGTGGTGTTGAATATAATTTTAACGATAACCTAAAGCTGGGATACGGGCACCTGGGAACTCAAGCACCCAGACCATCCCCTTTCTTCTTAGACAGCTATCCTAACCCTCAGTCCCAGAAATGCCTCTGCTTGTCATCACCAATGTAAGATCCTTCAGCCAGATTCCCTTACATTGTGTTACTTTACTTGGCAAGAGGAATGAAGTTTCTTATTTACGGAGAGGTATGAAATGTACACAGGCCATATTTCCAGCCAATGGAAATCGCACTGAGTATGAAGGCACTAAATACCTTTAGTGTCTGGGCACATTTTCTTATAACTCCACGAAGAAGAGGAGTAGAAACCTAACATTGAAAAACAAACTGTCAAAGATGGGGAAGATCTAAGAATACTGCACCCTCAGCAAAAAGCACTAGAATGCTCGATACCTTTTTGTCAAAAGTCAGAATTCTGTTCTTTCATCTGGTTACAGTTGACTTTGAAATGCATTAAGATACCTGTATTTAGGGAGAGCTAAATACAGGCATTCATTGTTCCTGGCCAGACCAGCTTTAGACCTGCTCACAGTTGTGGCTACAGGCCTGCCTGTTGCAGAGTCAAAACAAAAGTAGGGGGCCTTATTTTAGAAGTTGGCTGCTTGCACTCGTGCACGAGAAGAGACTGCCACTGGAGGAACCAAACACCTGTTGTGGTTCCTGCTAGAGGACAGCGGTAAAAATTCTTGCTCACGCCTCAGTGGCTGAGAAACCCTTGCCTGCTCTTCAGCCCTTGCACAGGCAAAAATGCAGCCCCCCCTGCCCCCCCCCATGGGCAAAACCCAAAGGGCTGATGCCCCAGTTAATACGGTGCGGTTCTTGATCAGCCCTCCGTAACCGAAGAACATGCAGTCAAACATCAGCTTGAATAAGGTGACTCAGATCTTTGCCTTCCCTCCTGCCTTCAGTTGCCGTATTTACAAGCGATGCAAAATGAACCAAGGAGAAGCTCTGGAGAGCTGCTTTCCAGCACTGGGCCACGTTCAAGGCAGACAAGACAGGCCAGGCACAGCGCTTGAAAGGCTGCTGGTTGAGAAGCCTTAGGAAAGGGGTCTCGGCCCTTCAGAATAGGGGGGAACTGCTCAAAGTCCAGGGATGCAAGAGAAGCCCTGCTACACACACCAAAGTCCGTCTAGTCCAGCACTCCATGCACACGGTGGCAACCCGGCTGCCCACGGGATCCCTCCAGCAGGATGGGTGCAAGACCGCCACCTGCCCAAGCTGCTCAGCGGCTGGGGCATGCAGGTTTGCTGCCTCTGTTGAAGGAGGTAGCCCAAAGCCAGCAAGGCTAGTGGCCATTGGTAGCCTCCTAGCCCATGGATTTGTCTAATCCCTTTTTAAAGCCATCCAGATGGGTGGCCAGCACCACCTCCCGTGGCAGCCAATTCCACAGTTTCACGACACGCTGTGTGAAGAGGTCCTTCCTTTCATTTGTCCTAAACCTTCCACCCATCAGCTTCTAGGGATGGCCCCAGGTTCAAATGTTATGCGAGAGGAAGGAAAAAGACTCCCCCTTCGTTTTTCCACACATGCATTATTTTACACACCTCTATCATGTCTCCCCTTATTCCCTTTTTTTCCCTAAGCTGAACAGCTCAGTTGTCATAGCCGCTCCTCAAGGGCAGCTGCTCCAGCCCCTGGAGCATCATTTTTGTTGCCCTAGGAAGCCACCTAGCAAAGGCGCACGGCTTTGGGAGCCCTGGATGCCACTCGGGCTCTCGGACCTGACGTTCGCCTGCCCAAGCCTTTACAGTAAGCGAAGGCGGCGATCTTTGCTCTCCTGGGAGCAAACCCCACTGAATCGGCCCAGAGTTATCACCACGCATGCATGGTGCTATTGGCCTCTGCCAAGCAGAGCCCCAGTCTCCAGTCAGCCCCAAAACACAGGGATGGCTTCCACCAGTTACAGTCTCCCAGACCAGCTTCCCTTGCAGGGGTGCTGGGTGGAATAATGGGCGCACAACACTTCAGGCGGGCCTGGCACCAACATGGTGGGACAAGTGCCATTCGGCCGGCATCGCTGGTGGCTTTTTTTACCGCAGTTGCTTGGTGCAGAGCCAGCTCCTTACCTGGGCCCCACTGAGCTTGTGGGCACTGGGAGAGCCACCAGGGCGGTGGGTGCCCGGACCCTCCCCAAGGCCACTCCCGGCTCTGGCCTTGGCCCTGCTGCCGTCAGTGTTGCCACCAACATTCAGCAGCAGGGCAGCCAGGCATTAGCCCATCGCTTGGTGCTGCCCGACCAAATTTCTGCAGCTCCCAGTGCAAGCTGGGGAGGGGGAGAATTGGCCACCGTACCCCTAGGTGTTGCCTGCCCCACCCTGAAGGTAGGCCGGTGTGACAGCATTCTGCAACACAGCGCCCTCCCAGTGAGTTGGCCTACATATCCCACCATCCCCAGATGATGAAAGTTATCATCCAAAACACCTGGAGGGCATCACATGGGGGAAAGGCTGCCGTACCCAAGGCAAGAAATGTTGGCTAAGGCCAGCCAAGAGTTTGAAGCTTTGGAGATGTGAGGCTTCCGGTTCGTGGTTTATGTTCTTGGGTCACATTCCCTCTGTTCAGGGCGAAGCATGGGATGTTTAGGGCAGTAAGTTTCCCAAACATAAAGAGAGAAGACGAGAGGTGGCTGCTTCCCAATGGAAAGTTCTGTTACATCTCTGTTTAAAAAAAAAAAAAGTAATTTCCCAGACACTGGCTTTCTATCAATGGCCTTCTTTGTGGTAGCAAGACAGAACCGTTCTCCTGATCTGGGGACATCGCAAGGCAAAGCTGCTTTTGCGATGAGCACAGCGGGAAAACGCGGCCTTGCGCCATCTTTCTCCCACTGGAAGCACTGGAGGCACTGATGGCAAAATGATGTTCCAGCCTGCTGCATGGTGAACTCCGACGCTGCAGCCCAATCCAAAATCAACAGAGACGTTGCACGGAGTGAACAAAAAGCAATCGCTGTAGGCAGTCTAGTAAGAGCAGTGGAAGAAAAAACTCCATCGGGAGCTCTGATACAACAGCACAACCAGTTTCTCCCTACCTGGGACTTTTGGCAAAGAAGGACGGGTAGGTACATTTTGAAGCTGATTTTATGAACATTCTTTCCCACATGTACAAGCCAATGTTGTGCCTCACATGAAATTTTGGTTGCTTTCTCTTTCACTTACACACCCCAACAACCCTTTTGGTTCTTCATTCATGTAAAACAGGATGTGGTACCACAAACCATGGGTAAAACGCAGCTCACTCCATTTAGCTCTCCAGAGGCCTTTTCCCTCCAGCCTCACTCATTTTCTTCAGCCAGTCCCTCTTTGGTAGCTTCCTGGCCTTCTAAAAGGTTGAACTGTCTCTCTTGTTGGGTTAACAGCAGTAAAAACCTTAACCTCAAGTATGCTGATTTTTAACATTATTCTTCCGTGATCTTCACCCTCAGCCTGCCCTGCTCTGAAATGCATCCCTGAGAGTTTCTCCAAAGTGGGATTTGGCCCCGAGGCACCAAGAGGTTGAACACTCCTCAG